TGTGCATTCAAATGTGCAGTGCAACTCTAAATAACGTCCAAGTTAATTCGACCTTCCTCGTTGGAGTTTGTTTAGCACAAAATGTTATTGCTAGATTTCGTTCGAGGTAAGGGATGTTTGGGGCTTGCTAAATTTGATCAAAGACAAAGTTTTCTGTGTTACCAAAATATGCATTGTTGGTGAATAGGGTAATGAAACGGCACTTCTGACGTTTTGGATATCTTTTTCGCTACTCCGAGATGACAAATTTACTTTACGAAATACAAGTTCTCTGGCTTATTAGGAGTGGCATAATTGGCCAATTTATTAATATCACCGCTATTAGGGTGGCTTAAAACGATTTGATAAGAGATATAAGAATCCATTACTTTTTTAACGAGAATAAACTCATTATCAATTTTTGTACTGCTTTTCGGGAGAATAATTTGCATCTGTAATTTGCAAGACGTGTTTCGACACACATGAATAACATTTAATCGAACTGTAAGAAAATATCGTGTTGCTTTTCAATATTTCTTACGTTTGTAGAGAGATGAAATGCAACTAATGTATAAATGTCAGCATTCAATTGAACAGAAGGGATGTAAGGGGCAACAGGTGGATTAAATTTAAAATGAAGTTCGTCTCAGTTTCTGTATTAAGTGTAATCAAAGGAGAAACGAAATAAAATAAATTTCTACAAAGTATTAAATGGAATCGTGACTGTGTTACCAAATTATCTGACATGTCCAATGACCCAAAAGCTATAAATTGCGCTTGTCTTTTTGTTAAAATCTGGTTTATTGTCTATGAGGCCGTAAACAGTGACAGGTGAGTAATATTTTTGTGAAATAAATTAGTTTTCTAAATCTACTGTTAAAATATTTATGTTGGTTGCATCGAGAATTTGGCCAGGCTCATTATACCTCGTGAATCACCCTGTATTTGTTGCTTAATAGCAGTGCTTACAATTCGTTGATCACAAAAAATTGAGGTCAAGTTTGTCCTAGAAATTGTTTAGCTTTTCAAACAAAACTCATTAGCCTATTTTACATACTGTATAGAAAAATTCTGATAGTTTTAGATTCAACAAAAATGGTTATTTAATTATGAACACAAGTGTTTTGACAATTAACTCTACAAGTTCTCCGAGCTGTTGAAAATGTTTTTCTTATAGTCTTTATGTCCTAAAACCCACAATAAAGCGTCGAGAAAGTTTTGAAACGAGGTTACGACGAAATTCTGTAGAGACTTAATGTCGCCTGTTCAGTTCTTAACTCATGAAATCATCAAGGCATACTTAACGTAAAATAGCAAGCGACAAGTGTTTTGAGAAGACCCGTTTGGTCAGTCCTGGAAAGTGCAGAAGTCTATTTCGGGCTGTAAAAATACAAAGTCATGTTATGTATTATTTATGAAAACCTCATATCTCCAACGTGTAAAAGCACAATGTCAGCTTTTGCTCTTAAGATATTAAAGGTGCTAACGGAGAAAAGAATGAGAAGTGAGACGCAAGTCATGTATGAATTATTAAACGATCATCGCAGGATATGAGGTTGGCTTAGTGTGGTTTGTGAGTTAGTTTTTTGCCTGCTTGTGAAAATAATTTATAACATTACCAAAAATTTTAAATTAAATGTCTCTGTTTTCCAAACAGGTTAGTTACCTCAGCAATAAAAGTCACAATGGTGGAGGGGCCCGGAAAAATGTGCATTTCCACGTACAATAGCTGTACAACTCGACTTAATGACGCAAGCACTTCAGTCTTGTTTTGTAAATACTTTCAAAGAGGACTAACATTCTCAAGAAAGCGCTAATTAATCTATACATAGGTACTTGTAGTTTCGTTCTTTACAAAACACCAATCGAGTTCCAATTCGGACTTATAACGTCCATTCCCTTGTAATGTAATTTAGAGATATCAAAAGGAAATTGAAACTGTCGCGTTTCTGTTATTCATGATTCTAAAGCGATATTCCCAACTGTATCAATCAACGTAAAAAAACTCGAGTTTTCGGGTTGCTATTTCAAACTAATGACATCCAATGGCTTCCAACCTCGATTAAACTTACTAAAGTGTGAAACTCGCAACGACTAATCGGTCCGGAATGAATAATTCAAGAAATTTTTTCACCTCGGTTAACCGAAATAGAAAAATCTCAAGTGCTGAATGCGAAAAGTTTTTTACAATTAGATTAAGACGATTCTGTAAGTTGCCAGTTTGGGATGCAAAAACTCGGACTAAAAATAGTTTTCTTTAATGTTTCGCTACTTTACATTATTGAGCGTGAATGGCTGTTCGAGTTTCTTTTAACTCTGTTGTGATACAATCGATAGGCGTAACGCTCGAAAAGGCACCGACAAATTGGACATTAGTTCTGGTGTTTCCTAATAGGGTTGTTAGAGGTGAGCCAATTTGTTATTTGTCGCATTTTCAAAACTTTGGCTCATTTTGAAATTATAAAGACGCGGCGCTAGCGATCCGAAAAAATGTTAAAACTTATTTATAGAATTTTTTATACTATGCGACAGGAAAAACATCAAAAGAATAATGTTTCTCAAGTGGGCAGCAAAGAACACACTTGAAAAATTGTGTGTCGCAAAAAAATTTAGAGATTCATAACGTATTTTTATTCACAAGTGACAAAGAAAACTACAAATTTTCATTGTATGGAAACATGATGTAATGCATGTAACATGTAATGAACCTTTTATAGAGTTTACCATGAAACGAAGCGTTTTCGCTTTTTTTTAATTCAAGTTAGTCAAAAAAGTGTTTTTGACATAAAATGCAGGTATTATTTATTATTTAATTTATTTGAAATCTTAGACGAAACATTCGCTTGTCCATTGATCGTTTAGCAAATTCTCAAATTCATAAACGAAATAATTTAATATTCACTGCTTTCGTCTTTTATTGCAAAAAAATATGTTTTCAATATTCTTAATATTAAATTCCTCAATTCCTTAAGATTTCAGAGGAATAACAACTTTTGTTTGATTATCTATAAGTATTTATATGGGTAAAAATTTTGCTTTGTAATGAAAATGTAATCAATTTAAAGAAACCAGTTCTTTTCATTTAAAAGAGTGTTTTAATTATGTTGCCGCTATTTTTGATTACATTTAAACTGTATTATTTATTTATTGAAAAATTAATCTTGAAAAAACGATTTTGCACTTCCGATCGTTTCACTTGGGATGACTCTTTTAATAAACTGGAATGGAAACGCAAAAAGTAATTAAGGATTCTTGTTGATTGCAACAGACTGAAACCGGCGTGTTAATTGTCCTATTCATTACTAACTAACTACAAATGGTAGCCATTACGGCAGTATCGATTTTTATTAGACCCATTTTATTGCCCTTTCTGTTTTAAAGTGTCTCCACGCTAAACTTTTTTAATGAATATAAAATTAACTAAGCAACAGAACACTGCAAATTCTAAATGAATATGTTTCCCAGCGATCGGCGGTTTTATTAAATTTCAACTTAAAGCAAACTCGCGAACTTTGTGAGAGGATGATTTTAGCAGTCTCACATGTTCAGATTGTTGGCTGTTTATCAACCAATTCAATATAAATGCTTGTGTGAGAAGCGTCGACGTACTTGTCTCCCATTTCCCTAATTATCAATCAAGTATTCGGAGTCTTTTTTCACAAAGAATAATTCCGAGCAATTTGCCAGTGACATCCTTACCCGTCTGAGCTAGACAAATTGACACACTTCGGTGAGTTTTTGTCATAAGTTCAGATAGCTGGGCGTGAGTGGATCCATCATAGAAAATCTTATTCCATTATCAGTTTTTTTCTGTTAACATGAGGTGTGATAAATTTCATCCACCCGATTTTTGAAATAATTCAGTCGAAATGTTTGTGTGCTTTAATTAAAATACTTGAGAGAATTTTTACTGGCGTTGAGTAAACCACGAGATTATTGAAATCGATTCGTTCTTCAACTCTCGTTTTAATTTCTCGCTTTTAACGGAAATTACGAGAAGTGTCTGAACACCTTTCAGTTCTCATACAAATTGATTTTTCCAACACAAAGTCGTACGCCAATTAGCTGTTCCCAAATTATGATTAATTGTCTCAACTCGTTTTGTAATTTTTAAAGAAATTTCAGAATCTTTCATTAATAAAAATGTCTGTTTACATTTTTCAGCTCGTTTAATTTTAAAATTTCAGGTATTCCATCCTGGACGTGTTAATTTTATTAATGAAAAAATTTCAATACATGTACGTCAAATATTGTTAAAAGTTTTCTAAACAAAAGCTCTTTTAACTTCCTAATTGTTAAGAATCTGTGCTTTTTGAAAGGGCTCGATCCGTGAATACACAAAGTTTACTTTTCAAATAAAATGAAAGCAACTGTAAGGGTAGTCTTATTCTTATTAATTAAAAATAATTACACGGGAAGTTTCCTTGCTGGTAGATTAGAATTTGTATGGAGATTACAATTTTAAGCAAATGCATGTGCTTTTGTCATCAGTGCGTGAGCTTTTTTTAATTAAAGAGATTACTGATTCAGTTTCAAATCTTGCCAACCGAACAAAATTAAACTTTTTCATCACACTTCGCAATTTGGTGACCCATTATAAATTAAATAATGACGTGCAGTCAAAAAACTATTGAAAACTCTTGCGAAGGAGTGCACAAAAGAAAACATTTTATAACTTGTCTATTTCATGCAGATGTTGTGATAGGAACAGAAACGGCTTCATTTGACTTAATTTTTGTCGACTTTCAAGACTAAATTTAAAAGTTTTTTACTAACTTTTTAAATTTTGCACTAATTAATTTTGACTCGACTAAAGCCATTTTTGTTTAAATGTTGCAGTGCAAAACCTTTTGGTCGGCACCGTGCTGATGCACTTTCCTTGCTAATCAACGTAATTAATTAGCTCTTAAACGATCTCCTGACTAAAAATGCGCTGTTAGAAATTAAATTTTAAGACGAAAGAAGTGACGTTAATAGAAGGTTCTTTCCAGGATTTTAACTAATTTGCATTTTTATTGCAGAGTGTATCCGTGACGGTGTCGGTATTAACATTGACTTTCATATCAATCGATCGCTGGTACGCCATCTGCTTTCCTTTGAAGTTCAAATCTACAACTGGAAGAGCCAAAACTGCGATCGGAATTATCTGGATTGTGGCTTTGGCCTGTGGTGAGTAATTTTTTCTTTTCTGTGTTTTTTTGTGATGAGTCGATCCTTTCGAGTTGTATATATTATCAGAAAAATGTGAGCGGAAATTGAATTTGATTTAATCTAGTGAAAGATTTTAATGGAAAGTTCTAAAGGATGGAGCTTTTATATGTGAAAAGTGGCCGCTTGGAACCAAACCAATCGGAACAGTGAGATTTTTAGAGAAACTTTATTACAGTTAAACGCAAACACTAAAATTTCAATGCAATTTCCTTAAAAATTAAATAAACTGAAAAAGTCCAATTGTAAACTTCAATGTTTCTCCAATTTCTTCCTAAACAAATTAAATAAGCGAAAATATTATGTTTCTCGGGATCGCTCCGCGACTGCATCTCGTCGTTGCAATTGTAAACTCGCTTTTTTTTCTCGCGACTAGACAAGATAAACAAGAAAACAAGCGACATTTCAAGACAAAAAAAACACTCAATCGTAAGATAAAAAAGACAACAGGTAATCCTTTCCCTTCGTTTAAGATCCAAGCTACCCACAAAGGACTTCATCCAATCTTTTCTTTTTCTCAAATCAATTTAATATAATTGGCTTAATTTCGCTTCGCTTCCATTAATTCAGAGATACGAATAAGATTCAAAGAGAAAACGAGAAAAATGCAGTTCGGGGTCGCACCGCAAGTCATGGCGACTAAGCAAATAAAGGGACATCTTTTCACGAGAAAAAATCCGATAAGTGCCCATTTTTACGAAAAGAAAATGAAATTTTAGAGAAATGTGACGACGGTGATTTATAGCAAGTCGATCCAACAGAGGCAAATAACACATGAAGGGTGTTAGCGTAAAGAAATGGCTGTCAAGGGAGAGAAAATGTAAGGTTGCCGGTTTATCAAGAATGGGAAAGAATGAATCACCAAAAATGATCGGAAAATGCAAAATATTTATTAACTTCAAAAAAGGAAAAATGAAAAGCCTTTATTACACATATTTCACCCACAAAACCATAAGTTCCATCCCATTCAAATTTATTACTTCTTATTAATTAATAGTAGTCTTTGTTTTTCTATATAGATTTTATTTTGCGACAAAATCCATTCCAAATGCAAGCTGTGTTACTTTCAAATAGACGGTCTGCAACCAAGTCAGTCAACCACAAATTCGCTCTCTAAGAAAATTAAATAATAACCGAAATTGAAGTGGTATTTTTGTTATTTTCTCTCTCACAGAACTCGGTAAACACAAAACGAGTCAAAAATGAGTGTTTCTCGTAAGATAATGAAAATATTTCTGCCAACAAAAAGAGAATTGTTATGTTAATATTTAATCAGGCCACATCAAGCATTTCGCTTAATCGCAAATTTCAACACCGGTGCAAATCTGGAGTTCTAGAGAAGCTAACCGGGAATTGAATGTTTATTTAATGCTTCAAAGGTGGATTACTAATACCCAACTATTTTGGAAAAATTGTATTGAGAATTTTCGGCTTGGGGTTTATGAATATTCAAAAGCACTCAGATTGCTTTACCCAAATAAATTGATAAATTGCGTTCCCTCTGAATTAGGCGAAATGTTACATCCAATTATACCTGTGTCGGAATAAATCGATGAAAATTTAACGAAAAAACTTTTCTAATTTTAGTTGAAACAAAATATCGTGGCTGAGAGCCACAATAAGATTCTCAGGCTTTGTTAATCACAATAACGACATGTGTTAAATCTAGTTTGCAAACAACGTGAAATGCAGTTTGTATCAGATATTGCATTAGGATAAGGATTTATTACCTCCGGCGGCTTCAACGTAAACCACTATTAATAGTTATCTCAACAACACAATGATTTGATAGCAGTTTTTTTTGTTTAAAAATATTGCATTCAAATATGAAATTCCTAAAGTGTAAAACTCCAAAATTCATTTCACTTTTAAAAAATAATAAATACGCACTGAAGTAGTAGAAATTCCTCTTCATGTGTATTTTATTGCACATAATACATATTTAGTACAAGTATGTAATAGTACATTACAAGCGAGGTGGTAAATATGGCATTACCCCGAGTGCTTATGTATAAAACACAAGGGGTAATGCCATTACCACCGAGGGTTGTATGCTATTTTATTCACAATCACATTATTTTCAATCAATAATTTGAGTAAAATAAAATTCTAACAAAGTTAAGGTCCAAACGTGGTAGGCCATCCAAATGGCGTTTTGATTTTCGACATTTCAGAAATGTCAAAGAAAATATTGAAATAATGGGTAGTATGAATAAAATGTAGCAAAAGCTTTTACTATAATTTTGTCTCTTTCTTTCTCATAAAATCTAAATTACGTCTATCTTTTACTATTACAAGTAGAAGCATTTACTTAACTTTATTCATACGGCCCAATGTGTGAATCTGATTTAAAATCGTCGAAATGAAACAATATATTCCTCGGAAGTAAGAGACACTGCTACCAAAGCAACGAAATAAATACTAATTTAGCGAAATATTATGCGTAACTTTTAAGAAAAAATTCCCGGTATTTTTGTAATTTTAAGGTTTTCTGTCCTGCATATTACCACTCAAGAGAAGTAATATTATTACTCCTCATAAAATTTAATGATATGTTTCCCACCCTTTAAAAGGTTAGTAATCAGCATATTACATTAATGATTGTGAATAAAATAAATAAAACTTTAATACGGAGTTATTATTACTTATTATTATGTTCATGGCAACCATTTGTACATAAAGTTTGTTTTTTTTAATGGAAATTAAAAAGTTAAAATTTTGGTGAAAAAATTTACTCGTATTAATTAACTTATTTAAAATAAATACTGTTGTGGTTGTTTTAAGATTTAGGTATACCAGGATAATTATGGTCCATTGAATTTAAGAAAAAAATTATTCTGTAAAAGAA